GCTGAAAGATAAGAGGACTTATTGCAGATGGAACACCACCTCGACTTGCCAATATGATCCTACGTTGCCCTGTAATTGCGTCAACAATACGTTCCCGCCCACCTCAACTACATCGACTAGTGGGCCATCGACGACTACTCTACCATCTTCAACCAAATCTACCCAACGTCCTACATCATCTACCACCTCGAGCCAATCAGCGAGAAGGAAGCGATTAACAGCAGTTTCAACTCGCCCTTAAACGTGGCGGCTTTCTTGCTACAAATAGGCGTATAGTACCGTGTCTCTTCTCTTTGGATTCGCTATAAGATCTCGCTCGTCGGAGTTTTACCAGGCTTTCATCGCCCCAATCTATCCCGTGGACTTCATATCAGTGGACGAGCCCCCGCAGGACTCTGGCTGCACGAGCCGTCATCTTTGTCTCGAGAGTTCACATCATTGTTTACCGGGTTAGTCCTCATCGGATCATCACACTTCTTGTCGCGGATTCCGGTTCAGTGTTATCGCATGATCCTCTCGGGAGCAGTCAGAGTTTGGAATTTCCCTGGCAACGGTCAGATCTCCAAATTCACAGTGTTTATATTCTCAATGGCAAGACACTCCTCTCCGCGAGCTACTTCGGTGATCTATGTCGTCTCAATATCTCGGATACGTCGGATACGTCGGATTGCATTTTTCTTGCTGGCGGTCTCAGCGGTCTGGCCTGCCATGCTGCAAGGCTGCGGAACCACACCAACTCCGTTCCCACAGCCGAGTGAGTGACTTAGGTTGTCTGGCTCAACTTGGTAGCGTCTAACGCTGTGAGTTTCATGAATTTGTACATAGTCATCCGAGTTGGATCGTGCAGTTTGCAGGTACGACGATGCAACCCAATGCGACGACGAGTAATCCGACTGTGCCGTCGTCTTCAAGCGCTTCAACGACAGTGACGACGGCACAGTCGACAAGTTCGAGTTCCACGACTACCTCAAGTATGAGTTCAACCACTACAAGGAGTGCTCCGCAGACCACGACAAGCACAATTTCGCGACGTACAGCTACGATGAGCACAACGACAACCACAAGTACAAGTTCAACGACGAGCGCGACACCTACGAGTACAACAACTTCGAGTACGGCAACTACGAGCACAACTACGAGCAGAACAACCACGAGTAGGCAACTACGAGCACAACAGCTACGAGCAGA